TTTGTATCCAACTCCTGCAACAAACATTTCTGAAGGCCCATTATGTATCAGGTGCTGTGCTGGCCTGGAGCGCGTGCAAAAATGGCATAGCTGGGTTCTGCCCAAACTTGCCTCTAATTGAGGAAATAAGAAATCCACACGGAAGAAGAACGATGAAGACACCAGGAAGTAGATGATATGGCCTAACGGAGAAACATGAGCAACCAAAGTTATGGGGGTTCCTGGAAAAGGAAGTCCCCCTCCAGGCAGGGTAATCTGGGAAGCTTCCCCAAAGGGGCCAGTTGTGGCTGCCCCGACACCTTCCCCGGGGGGCCACCAATGGCCAGGGAGAGCCATCCTATCATGCCTCAGGGCCACTGGCCTCGGGCCCCATCCCCAGCCCTCCCTGCCTTCCCACGCCCTCCCCAGCCTCTACTCTCCATCCCCTCCAAGGCTGGGACCCTCACCTCCTTCCTCCTGAAGGCTGTCTGACCCCTGACTAGACTGCTGCTCCACAGCCCTCTCCAACAGAGGCTCTTTGCTCCTCAGGCCATGCTTCAGGGCCTGGAGATGCCTCCTCACTCACCATTGAAGCTTCCAATCTGATTCTTATTCTTCCTTCAAAAACCCAGCTCCTATGGAATACATGGCAACAGAGCTTGCTACCCACCACTTCTCATTAGTGTCACCTTATTATCCTTCTGGTTACTTCCTCTGTCCCTTGATGATTTCAGCACTGGGCTCTTTCTCCTCCACTGTCATCATTCTTGGTGACCTCAGCATCAATTCTGATGACTCGCCCAACACCCTAGTCCCTAAGTCGCTTGACTACCTTAGCCCTAGCAATACATCTCTTGCCCCATCCTCATCTCCTGGTCATACCCTAGACCTGGGAACCATGAATATCTACACCATCTCTAAAATCTCAGATTCAAAGATCCCACTACCTGCCAGCCCACCAGCTCACTCACTCTGGTCCTTCCAGTCTACTGGCTCTCCCACCTGAGACCTCCAGTCCATCGCTCTACTATTTTTTCACTATTTGTCTCCCCTCAGGTCTTCACTTATCAGCCAGCTGAGATTCCATGATCTGGCATGAGAAATCTCCCTTGCAAACACTCTTAACTCCTTACACCAGTTTCTCTCCATCGTATTCACCTGGTGAAAACCCAGCTGTGGTTAAATCAACCTGGTTACTTCACACCTGCAACCGATTAGTTGAACACCGCTGAAGAAAATTACCTAGCTAGGGCTTCCCTGGTGGCGCAGTGGTTGAGAATCCGCCTGCCAATGCAGGGGATACGGGTTCGAGCCCTGGGGCCGGAGGATCCCACACGCTGCGGAGCAGCTGGGCCCATGGGCCACGACTGCTGAGCCTGCGCTCTGGAATCCGCGAACCACAACTACTGGAGCCTGCGTGCCACAACCACTGAAGCCCACGTGTCTGGAGCCCATGCTCTGCAACAGCAGAGGTCAGCACAATGAGAAACCTGCGCCACAGTGAGGAGTGACCCCCGCTCACCGCAGCTGGAGAGGGCCTGTGCGCAGCGACGAAGACCCAACGCAGCCATAAATAAATAAGTAAATTTATAAAAAAAAAAAAAAAAAAAAGAAAATTACCCAGCTACTGTGGATGTACTCACATCAAATTTATGACCATAAATTTCCAATGGGCGTTTGAACTGCTGGACAATCCCACTACTGTTTCTTAGAAAAGTCCTTTTCTCTCTCCACCATGCAACAATTTCACACTTTTTCCTCTTCCTCATAGTTTCAATGCCCCTTCCTCTTTCACTCTCAGCCTGGCCTGGGACTATCCTTCATAGAGAAAATAGGTATAAACAGACCAACTGCCTGCTCTTCCTCCCACGAAAGCCACCAGAATGCCTGCAGCTCTGCATTCCCTCCACCCAGCTGTGGCCAATCCCTCCATCTGTGCCCTGGGCCCCTTCCCCTTTCACCAGCGCAAGTATTCCCTTCCTTTCAGGCACCATCAACTTCTGGCTCTTTACTCTATCCTTCCCACTGAAGTCAAACAGGACTTAATGTCCCTCAATCTAAAAACACATTAGCCTTAGCCCGTTTCCTCCTGCACCATTTTTCTGCCCCTCTGCTGGGCAGATGGTCCTGGGAGAGTTGTCTATATACTCACACTTCCCCACCTCACCTTCTTGTCACTCCTCTCTGTGTTCTTATCCTATGTGAGTTTGCAGTCCCTCTTTGCACTAGAGGTGGAGTATATGTTCTTGCTTCTTGACTTTGGACATGGCTACGTGACCCATTTTGGCCAATGGAACGTGGGAGGAGTGACATGGTACAGTTCTAAGCCTAGGCCTTAGGAGGCATTTCCACCTGCCTATTTGTCCCAGTGTTATCACCAGGGGATAACCTGCCCTAACTGGCCTACCCGTGCAAGGATGATGAGGAACATGTATCTAGAGAAGACTCAGACCCAGCCAAGGTCAGCCTCACCCAGCTGACCTCCAGTCGACTCCCAGATGCGTGAGTAAAGTAAATATTTACTGTTACATGCCATGGAGATTTTTATGGTTGTTTTTTACCTAGCTAATTGATGCATCCTCCTTCCTGAAATACTTCCTTTGCTTAGTTTCCTTAGAATCACCATCTTCTGGTTTTCTTCCAACGTCACAGGTTGTTTGTCTCAGCATCGCCTGCTCACTTTTCCTCTACCAGACCTCTAAATATTAGAGCGGCTTCAGTCTCATCCCTCTCTCTTCTAGCTTTACTTTTTCCCTAAGTGGAATTGTCCCACGGCCCATGGCTTTGAATACCATATATATGCTAGATCTCAAATTTAAATCTGAAGGACAGATGCCCCTGAACTCCAGACTCAAACCTGTCTACACATATCCACCTGATGTCTGATAGGTCTTGGTATGGCCAAAACGGAACGGCTGATCTACCCTTCCCGATTAACATGGGCATCCTGTCCACCCAGTTATCCTAAAAATGGAGGTGTCATCCTTGACTCTTCTCTTCTGTCATAGGACCATCTGCATAGCCGCAACCCTGCCTTTACCTCCTCTTGCCAGGACGTCTGCAACCGCAGCTTCACTCTTCTCCTCTCTCCTACTCCTTGCTCTGCCAAGCAGCCAGAGTGATCTTTCTAAAGGGTAAGTGGAATCTCTTCTCTCCTGGCATAAAATCCTCCAAAGTTTTCCCACTGCCACCAAAATAAAACCCACACTCCTTATTTTGACCCGTGAGGACATGATGGTCTAGTCCTTGCCTATGTCTCAAGAGCCCTTGAAGTCTCCTTGTTCACATTGCTCCAGGGACAATGGCCTTCATGGTGTCTCCTGAATGTAACGGAGTGCATTCCTGCCTCAGGGCTTTTGCACTTGTTATCCCTTCTGCTTGGAGCATTCTTCCTGCCCAGAAGGTCTCAAAGAGGCCTTTCCCACCCAAATAAAGCAGCACCCACTAACCCCACCACACCACAACTCTATCCCATCGATTAGCTACTTATGAACATGTGAAATTGTCTGGCTTTATTCCCTCCCACTGAGGCAAAAAAAATCTTTTAAGGGCAGGCATTTGTCTTAGTCTCTGATATATTCCAGGGGATAGATGCCTTGCACCTAGGGGGCTCTCAGTGAATGCATGTTGACCGACTGAGGCCAGAACTGAATGGAGAAGGAAGTGACCAGCTAGATGGCCAGGAAGGCAACTGCAGGGCCAGAGATAGGGAGGCTGGAGAATTCAAGATATACCAAGGGACCCTGAGGGGCCAGGCTGGCTACAGGGGAAGATGCACATGGGGAATGGGAGGAGAAAATTCTGCATGGTGAGAGGGCTTGCAGACTGTCACTCCAAGTCCTTTGAATTGGAGTGGCTGCTGCTGACGATTAGGACTCAAGGACGTGATAGGTTCAAAGCAAAGATTTAAAGATGATTAACATGATAGAAAGGTTTACATTTCTGAGTGTCCTTAACTAAGTGCTGTCCCATGGGAGCACAGAATTTTAGAAGACAAAACATCTAGAAGAATCTGGGAGCCCAGGGGAGTCGGAGAGCTGTCCCTTGGGATTGAGATGCAAGAAAAACCCATTATCCAACCTTTTAGGGACCAATATTGAGTTCTCAGTTTTGGAAGTTCTCCCTGGGTAATTAAAGGTTTGCTGAGCTGCACAGCAGGTACTCATACACACGTGTTAATGAGCTGGTGCCCGTGCCTTGGGCCTCCTTACACCTTCCCCCAACGCGCGCACACACACACACACACACACACACACACACACACACGCGCGCGCGCGACCAAATCGCTTTTTTTCACCCTGTGACTGAACACAGCTTCACCAGACGCCCACCCCACGGATACACCCCAGACCTAGCTCCTTGCCTTCCCAGCCTCTCCCAGCCAATTCCATTGTCAGAGCTGAACAAAAGGCCCAAGGCATCTTGGGTTAAAGGATTTTAACTCTGCCAATCCCAGGAGGCTCCAACAAGAAGCAGCTTCCTGCAGGAGAAAAGTGACTGAGCAATCTCCCCAGGGGCAAGGGGATTTTTTTTTTTTCTGGTCCGAAAAACAGCTGTCAATCAGACACTCCTCCCCCCCCAGCCCACCCCCCGCCCCGGGTTCCCATCCCAGCCCCCACCCCGGGATTAGGAGCTTTGTCTCCTAGAGACCTCCCCGCAGCCAAACGCATCCTTAGGTCTCTTCGCTGATAACTTCTATTTGTGGCGGTCAGGCTTTCACCCAAGCCCGAGGGGCCGTCCCCGCCACCCCCATCAGACAGGACTCTCCCTCTGCTCCCCTCTTCGTCCCCCTGCCCCTGCCTCCCCGCCTTCACCCTGTGCGGGTACTGCTGCCCCGAGCTCCCGGATCGCCCCCCGTCCCTCCCCCTCATCCGCATCCGAGCGCCTCTGCTCCCCAGGACGCCGAACGCAACCAAGGGCCAGGCGGGAAGCCGGAGCCCGCCGCCTGTCCAGGGCCGCGGGTGGCTTCTCCGCGGTCCCGAGCGGCACCCTCTTCGGGCACCAGCTCCTGAACTTAGCCGGAAACGAACCCGTCCTCTGGAGCGGAAAGCTGCCGGCTTGTTGGGTGCTAGCAAGAACCTATCCAGGGTCGAGGTTCGGTGTGTCTGTTTCCACGTGCCTCTGTCCTAACCGGTGAGTAGCCTCTGGAGATCCCTTGCTGGCTGCTCTGCCCCAGTCCCAGAGGTTTCTGGAACAAAACTGCATTTGGTGTCAAACCCCTTTTGCTCACCCGGTAACTAAAGTTAAGTGTGCATTCTTTGGTTGTTGTTGTTCTTGAGTCTTTCACGTAGACGAGATACCGGGTAAATTAGAAACATGTTTGGGAAAGGAGTGAGCAATCAATGCTGGCATTTAAACAACACAAAAATGCCCACCCCAGGCCACACGCCCAGGCGGCCGCGGCGCTCCCGGCGACGGAGCAGCGCCCTCTGGCGGCCGTGCGGGGGATCGGCCGCCCCCACCCCCAGGCTCCGGAGCGGGGAGAGTCGCTTCCCCAGGTCTGAGAAACACCGGGAAAACTAGGGAGGACGGAAGTTTAAGGTGTTGCGACGCCAAGGTCCTGGGAAATGATACTTGTGGTTCCGGGACTAGTGCCCAGGCCAAGAGCCCCGGGAAGGGGCCAACATAAAAGAAAAACCCTTGTTCTACTCTCAATGGCTGCCTGAAATCCTGTGAATACAGCGTCATCCCTTACCCGAAGGCTTTGATTCTCTTTAAAATTCAAATGCCTCAAGGAGGGGTAATCCTTAAAACAAGGGCCGGTGGCAGGCTATGTCCAAAAATCACCAATGTCATCACCAAAAGGCATGATTATACCATAATATGTAAATTTTATATGATGATGACATTTAGTAAGTATCATCGAATCTTTTTTCCCCCTATTGTTATCTCCCGGGGCATCCTTTTGTACTCTGAACAGCAGTGTTATTTTAGGCTGCCCCACTCCCACTGACCTTTCCCGCTATTTCAATTCGCCCCAAGTTTTCTTGTTCCTTGTACATCCTAAACGCTTCTCCCCTTTCCCCGCTTCATCTCATTCTTACGGCTGCTGCTTGAGTTTAGGCTCACACAGCTCATTGTCTGGATCGGGGCTCCTCCAGTGGAGCAGCTGGAACCCTTCCATGACACCCGGGATCCCAGGTCCACAGGACTGTCTTGGGTTCTCTCCGTCTGCTCGACATGCAGCGCCAGCGTGTCTGCCAAGAGGCAGCCACCTTGGGCTGACTGTGGACACCCTCCCTACAGGAGCAGAGTACTCCTGCTTCAGCTGCTTCTCTCTCTGGAGTTTCTCTTCGGAAGAGAATGGCTTCTCCTCCACCTGGTGGAAGCTGGAAGGGGTGAGGGTGCTGGGTTTCTGAGGAAACAGGCAGGTGCTCCCCCGGCCCTCACTGTTTTCCTCTGAATCTCTTTTCCCTGCCTGAAGGGTTTCCACTTACTCATACTGTCTGGTGGGAATTCCTCCAACTTCATACCTTCCTTCTCTCTGAGGTGTCTTCTGCTGTGTTTATTGCTACACAACAAGCCACCCGGCGGCCTAAAACAAGAAACGTGTATTTATTGGCTCCTGACTCTGTGGGTGTCAGTGGGGCAGCGTCTAGCTAGCCTGGCTTTGCGGGGCCTGTGTGTGTGTCCGTGGTGAGCCGGCAGGTCGTTGGATGGGTTAGGACCGCTTCACCCACATATCTCGTGGTCAGCAGGCTGTCAGCTAGGGTGAAAGGGCGACCGGGCCACGTCCCTCTCATGAGGCAGGACAGCCGACCCCAGGCTGCATGCTGTAGCAGCGGGCTTCCAAGGATGGGGAGAGCAGAGCCACAAGGCTTCTTGAGGCCTGGGCTGGAAACCGGCCGCCCTCGCTCCCGCCACACTCTCTTGGTCAAAGCCAGTCGCCAGGCCGGGCCAAACTCAAGAGGTGGGAAACGGACTTCAGCTCCTGGTGGAAGGAGCTGCAAAGTACTGTAGCCATTTTTGCGATCCACACACTGGCCCTCCTACCCCTCGGGCACGCTACTGATAAGTAAACACGTCAAGATATTAGATCCCTAAGCCGCCCCTAGGATGTTCAGAGCGCAGCGCGGAAGCGCACCAGCCCAGCCGTCAGCGTGCCTGGGTTCGGACCTTGGCTTCCCACTTATCAGATGCTGACCAGGGAAAGTTACCTTGCCTCCTGGGGCCTCGGTTTCCTAATCCGTGAAAGTGGGAGTTGTTGTAAATATTAAAAACGTTAATCCACGTTAAGTACTTACGCAGTGTCTGGCACACCGTAAATGTTCAATAAATATCAGATATCGTGCCGCGGGGGGACGGCTGGCTGCCCGCCCACCAGGATTGCTGAGGCCGCCAGCGCCACCTTCCACAGCTGCCCCAAAGCCCTCTCCCAACACTGCTGACACCGGCACCCCCAGCTGCCAGCTCTGCCGACGACACCTGGTGTTTCCAGGGCCGCACTGAGATGCCAGGGAAATGGCCCTGTCCGTTTTTACCAGCTCCTTCAGTGAAGCCCGTCTCTCTAGAGCTGTTACAAAAAGGGCTCTGAAGTTAGACTGGAGGTGACAAGCTCAGACAAGCTGATTCATCTCGCGGAGTCTCAGTTTCTTCATCTGTACAATGGAGGCAACAGCACCACCTCCTACAGAGCATAGGAGGCATAATATGAATAACGTTAAGAGCCTGTGTTTAAAAGATGCTGGCGCTCCCAGGACACAGAACCGTGTTGTGCCTGAAGTCGCCCCTCCCGTAGGTGCTGAGAAGTTGCCACGGATGAGCCCTGTTTCCCAGAAATATCCTTAGTCACTCCTAGCGTCCTCCCTCCCTCTGCGATGGGCCAGGACCCTGGGGAGCGGGCTGAACTTTCCCTGCTGGCTTAGTGTCCGGTCCCTCCACTCTACCTCCTGAGGCCTGACCCATGTTCCGTTTTCAATTTAGTATCTCTAATACCTAGCAGACAACTTAGCATGGTAGGTGCTCAATAAATATCTGATGAAAAAAAAGAAGGAATGGATGAGGATGTAGGAGAGGAAAGACTTTTCCTCTACCTCCCTAGGTTCGATAGCTGGGTCTCTGAAATAAACTTACAACAGGCAGATTGACAGGAGAAAAGGTATACACACTTGTGGATTTCTAACGTTACACGGACAGGGACATCACAGGAAAAGACGTGAGTACCCAGAAAGGTGATGACATTTGAGAGCTTATATACCGTCTTTATAGGGAAGGGGCAATTCAGGGGCAAGATGAATGGGCCCTTTGAAGAACAGATGGGAGATACGATAGTTTGTGACAAAGTTTGTCAGGGTGTTGTGTGGACTCCTAGTGTCCTCTCCTGTGACAATCTTCCCTGATTGGTGAAACTCCCAGCGAGGAGGTTTTATGACAATTGAATTCCTTTCAGAGGATCTGTCTTAGGCAGATGAGGGGAGTTTGGAGAAAGCCTCTCTCCACCTTTGCTGGTTTTTAACTGCCCTCAGCTCAAAATAATCAGAATAACAAAGTGGCATATTTTGGGGTGTCCTGAACTCCTGTGGGAATGTCACTTCAAGGACTTCTGATAGTTTCTCTTTTCCTTGGTGAAGCCATCTGTTGGGGGGATGACTTCCAGGCCACTAGGGCAGAAGGGAAGATGTTCCCAAGAATTGGGTTGGGTGGCGTTCCTCAACCTGGCTGCCAGTTGCAATCACTGGGGAAGCCCAGGCCCACCCAGGGACGCAGGTATAATTGGCATGGGACCTGCCTTGGTGTCCAGAATTGGGAGTTAGCCCTGATCTGTGCACGTTCATCATTTCCATCAAGTCTCCCCCAGGATCGAGTCTCCCCAAGCTGATGGTGAAGAGCCCCAGATTCCGCTGAGGGTTCCCACAGAGTTCAGACCACAGCAGAAAATGAATTAGGCTGCCCAGAGGTTAAAGAGGACACCACAGGGCTTCCCTGGTGACGCAGTGGTTGAAAGCCCACCTGCCGATGCAGGGGACACGGGTTCGCGCCCCGGTCCAGGAAGATTCCACATGCCGCGGAGCGGCTGGGCCCGTGAGCCATGGCCACTGGGCCTGCGCGTCTGGAGCCTGTGCTCTGCAACGGGAGAGGCCGCAACAGTGAGGGGCCCGCGTACCGCAAAAAAAAAAGAAAAAACAGGTCACCATAAACCCAATTCCATTCCTAAGTGTGTGTTTGTGTGTGCCTAGACACAATTGAGGGGAAAATAAAGCTACTTGCTGCAACTTGACGCTTTAAGCGATTCATGAAATGAGTTAATATTCACTAATGTGTGCCAGGCAGAGTAAATGTGAAAGCCAGGGACAAAGGCAGAGAATGAGGATGAGAATGAGGATAAGGCTGGCTGCAGAGTAGATCCGGGGCCATGGACTGTCCTGAGGGAGCCAGAGTCCAGGAGCCCTGTTAGGAAATCCGTGAGCCAGTCAGGCAGGTGGCCCTTCTAACCAGTGGCCCGGTCAGGGGGTGGGCAGAGAGGGAGCAGCAGCTCCTTCTGTGATGACGGAACTGAAATATCCTCTACCGAATTGGAGGAGAAGGTGGGAGTGGGGCTCCTGGTATGAAGAAAGCTGAGTTCATAAATCTGCCCCCCCTTTTTTCCCTGCCTGCTGCACCTTTAACCTGGCTCTTTTTTTTTTTTTCCGGTACGCAGGCCTCTCACTGCTGTGGCCTCTCCAGTTGCAGAGCACAGGCTCCGGACGCGCAGGCTCAGCGGCCATGGCTCACGGGCCCAGCCGCTCCGCGGCATGTGGGATCTTCCTGGACTGGGGCACGAACCCGCGTCCCCTGCATCGGCAGGCGGACTCTCAACCACTGCGCCACCAGGGAAGCCCTAACCTGGCTCTTTTGAAAGATGGATGTGTATGCATCCACAAACACATCGACTCATGCCGTAGTAGAAGGGTGGTAGTAAAGTGTGGAGAAGGTGAGTGGGCAGTGCTCGCAGCCCGGTTGGAGTCTGAGGAGACTAGGATCTTCTTGGAACACATCATTCTGGGATTGTGGGGGAAGACTGTCACCTTCATCAAATGAGACTTTTAAACGCTGGATTTTAAATTTCAGTTCCCAGGAAGGGGTCTGATTGTTCAAAGGATAAGGGACGTAAGGCGAAGGTTGCACTGATTCTGAGTTGGGCCCTCAAGTCTCTTTGTGACACTCAGACTGTAACACACAGGCTGCAAAAACCCTTGAGGCACAGGGTGGTCCTGGGCCACTTATAGCAGCATGAAGTGGGCTGCTTGTTTAGAACTTGTTCTAGGGCCCATCCCAGGTCTATCTAATCTCCAGCTATTGGGCTCTCTAGAGATTGGGCCAGGGAACTCCAAATTTTAAATAGATGCCCCTAGCGACCCCAAGGTGCCTAAGGACTGAGGGCCCTTGTAGAATAGGTAGATGGGGATAGAGGAGGCCAGCGGCTCCCAAACCTGGGCGTTCAAGAATACACCTGGCACTTTAAGAGCCAGCCTCCGCCCCTGCTGGATGTGAGGTGGGACCTGTGACATTCCTAGGATGACTGTGATCTTCACTCAGGTTAGGTGTCCCAGGAGGGAATTAACTGGGAAGAAGCTTTCCTGATCTGTTACTTGACTCTGGAAGTCTCCCCACATTGCCTCTTCATTGAGACTGGGGCATTCTGCACACACCCCAGGGCAGGCCTAGGGCATGGAGATGTTGGGGCCATTGTGGTGGCATTCCACACTGCCCCCTCCAGCTTTACTGAGGTATAATTGACATATAACATCGTGGAAGTTTAAGGTGTTTGACATGTTGATTTGATACTTACATATTGCAAAATGATTAACCATCAAAGCATTAGCTAATACTTCCATCACATCTCATAATTAGTATTTGTTTTTTGTGGTGAGAACATTTAAGATCTACTCTCTTAGCAACTTTCAAGTATACAATATGGTATCATTAACTATAATCAACATGCTGTATATTAGATTCCCCAGAACTAATCCATCTTATAACTGGAAGTTTGTCCCCTTTGATCAATATCTCCCCATCTTCCCCCAACCCTCCCACCCCAGCCCCTGGTAACCACCATTCTACTCTTTGTTTCTATGCATTTGGCTTTTTTAGATTCCACATATAAAAGTGATAACATCCAGTGTTTGTCTTTCTCTGTCTGACTTATTTCGCTTAGCATAATGCCCTCAATGTCCATCCATCTTGCTGCAAATGATAGGATTTCCTTCTTTCTCATGGCTGCATAATATTCCATTGTGTATATATATGCCTCATCTTCTTTATTCATTTGTCTGTTGACAAACACATAGGTTCTTTCCATATCTTGGCTGTTGTGAACAATGCTACAATGAACATGGCAGTGTAGGCATTTCTTCAGGATCCTGTTTTCACTTTCTTTAGATATATACCCAGAAGTGGGATTGCTGGATCATATGGTAGTTGTATTGTTAATTTTTTCAGGAACCTCCATGCTGTTTTCCATAGTGGCTCTATCAATTTATTCAATACATTCCCACCTACAGTGCACAAGGGTTCCCTTTTCCCCACATCCTTTCCAACACTTGTTATCTCTTGTCTTTTTGATGATAGCAGTTCTAACAGGTGAGGTGAGGGGGGACCATTGTTTTGAAACATTTTTGAATTGATAAGAACCCCCCAGTGGGTTCAAAGTTAGCAGAGTATCTGAATTAGGAAAACAAGCCCGTCCCCAAGGAGAAACAACTTTCTGATATGCTTTTGGCCTCAAGAGAGGGAGTCCGGCCACAATTCTGCCCTCTGCAATTCAGAACAGCAGACAGTGAAAAGTCAGCTATAACAGGGTTCTGACGCTCACACAATACACGTGTGTCTATGCTGGCTGAGGCTCTGTTTTCTGTTACCACTGGCCACGGAGGCCACATCTTTCCAGTGGGTGAACTTGAAGGCAATCTGGCCTTCAGCCCTCAACCTTCACCTCAGGCAAACTTCCTTTTACAAAAAGCCTCTCAATTCTTATCCCAAAATTACACTGTATGTAATTTATATTCTATTTAACATCAAAATGGGGAGGAAGTCTGCAAGATGAAAACTGTTTTCATAATAAGATGTTATTTGCCTTTTTCACTCTCATTTTCTCGTGAATGTATGAAGCTATGTGCTTTGCAAAAACTCAGTCCGATAGTGAGTGAGTCCAGAAGCAGATAAGAGAATCCATCTGTCTTTTATTAAGCTAAACATTTTTTTAAATTGCAGGAATGTAAAATGGAGCCACACTTCTCACTAACTTTTTTTGTTTCGGAAAATATAGGTTTAAATATATATATATATGTTAATGTAGTGGATTTATTATTGTAATTTTAAGTAAATATTTAAAATTTTTCAGTTTAATTTCTAATATGGTAAATAGAACATTGTTCGAGGCCCTCAGTAATGTTAAGAGTATATAGGGGTCCTGAGATTAAGAAGTTTGAGAACCACTGTCTTATTTCTTGCCCGTCCCCTAGGCTCCGCCCCTAAATTTTCAAGTGTACAAGCTCGCCTTCCGCGCCAACTGTTGGAGTTCACCGTGGTGACCATCTGACATGTCTCAAACAGCTGCCTCAAAGCATCCCTCCTCCAGGTGCCCCCTTCCCACCTTCCAGGGTAAGAACATGTTCCTTTAACACTCAGCAAACCTAGGATGGGGACAAGGGAACTCATGTGCAGTCGGGGGAGCAAGGGAATGAAAACACAGTCACTGCCCTCGAGGGGCTTCTGATTTTGTGGGAGATACGGACGGGCAAGCAGCTGCCCAGGAGATACCTGTCATTGCTGTTTGCCAGTTACATCCTGGGGAGAAAGCAGGTATTGCGCCAGCCTTCCAGTTTCTTTCCCTCCCGCTGCCCCAGATTCCCGAGATCCCGGGGCCCGCGCGCCCCCTGGTGGCCGTGCCTCGTCTGTGCAGGCTCTTCCTTCTGGAGCTGCGGGAGCGCCCTAGGGATCCTCAAGTTTGGGGATCGATGCGCTGTGGCCCCATCGCTTAGGATCTACGTCGGTCCTCCGCGGCCTCTTGTTTGTCACTCTGCGCACGTTTATCCCTTGGTGACTAATTCCAGCCCGCTTCTGCCTCTGTGCCTGCTCTTTGTGGATGCTAGGCGTCTTGTGGATTCCTTCCCCACCACCGATGCCATTAGGTGACAGAGTACGCCATGGTAGAGATAATGGATCCGAGTTCAAGGAGTCCGATGACAAAGTTCCACTTCTTACTGATATGCCTAAGAGCAAATTATCTGATGTCTAAAGCAGCTCTGGATATTGGCGACTGAGGGATATTCTACGTTGGGGTCAAGTTCTTTCAGGAGAGGGCAAATGCGTCTGGACCCTCTGCATCTCATTGGCTTAAATTGGATTCCTTGCTCCTCCGGGGCTCATGGTCGTACTTTCCGCATTCTGAGGTGGGCATCAATACCACAAGACCCCCACCAGTCCTTCTAGGGCTTTTCTCCAGGGACATAGGGGCCCTCCTATTATAAACAGGACAGGAGTGGTCTACCATAAAATCCCAGAACACCTCAAAGTGGGTGTGCAGATGAACACGTTGACCCTAGCTTACTCAATACAAAACAAAGCTCTAAAATTGAGGAACGAAACACTACAGTGTCTTTCTTTTCATCAAACCCTAGAAATTCAGAATGAGAGTACCCTCAAACAGTATTGGGGGTTGGGAGAGAGCTTCAGAGACAGCAAGGCATCCTTGGGGACCAGCCTAAGGGCTCTCCTACAGTTCTGACCCAGAGTCCGTTAGCAGGAACCTCACTGCCCCATAAGCAAACTCAACCATCTTAACCTAGTGGTTTCCATGGTAACCATCAAAGAATGATCCCCTTTTCATTCCCACAGATGTTTCTCCCACCCCTCCCCCCAATAGTCATTTTCAGATATGACCTAGAACTGGATTCCATACAAATACTATTTGCAAATGTATCATTTCCCCCTTTCAATCCATGTTTTAAGAAAGTAGAAACTGTTTCTTTAATTTACACAGAAACGCCCTTCAGGTACATGGGAGTTTATTTTAGTATTCCTATTTGTGTAATAATTCATTTTAAATTAAAATTAAAAAATTTTTTTCTAAAAAATTTTCAAACAGAAAAGAAACATTCAAAATGTTCTTTCAACATTTTTGAAGAAAATCTGGTCTTTGTGAAGAATGATAAGAGGTTATGAAATAAACACTATTATCTACAAAAGGAACTCATAGATTGTAAGCCTTAATCCTTATTAGGGCTATGGTGAAAATGGCATAGCCTAACATTTTAGCTTTGAAGCACAAGAAGAATATAAATAAGCCTTTAAAGTATAATAAAGTATAGATAGTAGGGGGAAATTTTTAAAAATCAATTAATCACGCTGTCCTTCCACAACGCCTTCCCATCTTTTCCCCAGCAGCCCCCTCACCCTTCACAACCTTTAAAACTTCCACAATGAGAAACCCAGGCAGTGAGAACACCTGCTGCTCTTGTCCTAAACAAAGGTTGGGTAAATTACGGTCCTTGGGCCATTTCTGGCCCAGGGCCTGTTTTTGTATGGCCAGTCAGCTAAGAATGTTTTTTTACATTCTTAAAGGGCTATAAAACAAGCAAACACACAAAGGAGAATATGCCACAGAAACTAGATGTCCACCCTGTGGCCATGTGTGATCTGTGAACCATCTCTTCTGTTGGCTGCAGGAATCCTGGTGAAAGGTGGCTTTTCTTCCATCCAGGCAGCAGTGACAAGAGGTACAGCCGAAGTTGCCATGCCGACGGGGAATTCAGTTCTTAAAATAGTCAACTGCGCTCAGGCATTTTCGGGGTGGGTGGGTTTGGAGGGAGGGGGATAGGGAGAGGGGTGGGGAGAGATGATAAACGAATGAGTCAGACCCAACTGGTGACAGGTGTTCCATCATCCCTCTGGTAAGACGGCAGGAGGGGACTCTCTAAAAGGAGGTCTGAAAGAGACCTTTTCCATTCAAAGAGTAGGGATAGCTCTGTTTCCTTGCGTTATTTTCCTGCCCGACAGAAGGAAATTCCCCCTACCACCTCTCCTCCCCTCCGCCACCCTGCAGCCTCTTCCCTGCAGAGAACAGAAGGGGGAAACACACCCATCTCAAAAAGAGCCTGCCCTGATTCGCAGGGACTGGGTGTGCTGGGGATTCGTCTGTGCAGGGGTGGGAGGCGTCCATTCTCACTCTGGGCTGCCTCAAGGCTTCCTCTGTGGGAGGCCCGCGTCTCTTCATCATCTTGGTCATCCTAATCAGCGTCATGGAACCGAAAGGAAAGTGTATCCCTATCAATGTGTCTTTTATCCAGATAGCCCAATGAACCAACAGTCATTCTTTGAGAATCTCCTGTCACCCCTTTGTTGTGCCCCCAATGCCTGGAAAGGTGAACTAAGTCCTTTTTTTTAACTGTGGTAAAATATACATAACATAAAATTTGCCATTTTAACCAACTTTTTTTTTTTTTTTTTTTTTTTGCGGTATGCAGGCCTCTCACTGTTGTGGCCTCTCCCGTTGAGGAGCACAGGCTCCGGATGTGCAGGCTCAGCGGCCATGGCTCACGGGCCCAGCCGCTCCGCGGCATGTGGGATTTTCCCGGACCAGGGCACGAACCCACGTCCCCTGCATTGGCAGGCGGACTCTCAACCACTGTGCCACCAGAGAAGCCCCATTTTAACCAATTTTTAACTGCACAACTCAGTAGCATTAAATACATTCACATTGTTGTGCAACTGTCACCACCGTCCATCTTCAGAATTTGTTCATCTTCCCATATTCTGAAACCCTACACGTAACTCCCCATTCTGTACCCGTCCCCCCATCCCCTAGCAACCACTATTCTACTTTCTGTCTCTATGAATTTGGCTATTCTAGGAATCTTATGTAAGTGGAATCAGTATTTTCTTTTGCATCTGGCTTATTTCACTTAGCACATCTTTAAGGTTCATCCATGTGTCAGAATTCCATTCCTTTTAAAGGCTGAATAATAATCCATTGTAGGTATATACACATTCTGTGTATCCGTTCATCCATCAGTGGAAATTTGGTTTGTTTCTACCTTTTGCCTACCGTGGATAATGTTGTTCTGAACTTCGGCGGCTGTTTGAGTCCCTAATTTCAATTCTTTTTTTGGCTAAGTTCATTTTCAGAAAGAAAAAAACTAAGCCGAATGAGATCCCACCCAGGGTACAGAAGATGCTACAGCAACATTTTCTTATCTCTTCTATCCCATCCATTCAAAATCCATCTCTTATGAGGCCAGCAGCCCCTGGTCCCCTGCTGTCTTCCTTTCTCCAGGCTCTAGCCCTCTGCCCTTACTCCTCACTACCTTGAGTTCAAGGTCCTGGGGACTTGCGGTCTCAGATCCTTCATCAAGGACAGTGGAGAACTTTAAGGTTGATAGTTAGTTCTTTCATTTTTTTCATAGTTGAGCATCATTAGAGTAAAACTTTCTAGGTTTAATGCCAATTGTATATTTTAGCATCATTTCAATGTGGGGTTTTTTTTGTTTTTTGTTTTGGTTTTTTTGTGGTATGCGGGCCTCTCACTGTTGTGGCCTTGCCCGTTGTGGAGCACAGGCTTCAGACGCACAGGCTCAGCGGCCATGGCTCATGGGCCCAGCTGCTCCGCGGCATGTGGGATCTTCCTGGACCGGGGCACGAACCCGTGTCCTCTGCATCGGCAGGCGGACCCTCAACCGCTGCGCCACCAGGGAAGCCCTCAATGTGTTTTTATACAAAAGAACCCATTTCCCATCAGGAGCAGGGAAGGAAAGGATTCAGCGGAGAGGCATATCACTAGGAATTTTTTTGGTTGGGAATGAGTACATGGTCTCAGTTGGCTCACTCAGGCTGAAGGGAAGGAATTTTATTTCGTGGCTGGGCAAGATGTTCTTTTTTTTTTTCCCCCTGGGGGTGTTCCACTTGATGCTGTTTGAAAGGAAGCTGGGCTGTGGATAAAGCTGACACCTATGGAGGAAGGCCGAGCTAAGAGAATAGCAGAATATGGTGCTAGTGTCCTGATCGTGCAGTGCCTGAAGCTTACTCTACTCCAGTTACCTGTTAGGGAGCCAATAAATTGCCTTGTATTTTAAGCCTGATTTGGTGGGGCTTTCTGACCCTCAGGACCAAATTTACCCCAAGAAGAGTGGAAAGTCATTACAAGGTATAAGCAGGGAGAGTCCAGGAAGAGGGTGACATGATCAGATCTGCATCACATGGTTGCCCTGAGCTCTAGCTGCAAGGTGGAAATGGGTTAGTGGGGAGCTGGGTTAGTGGTTGCTGTTGGAGGTGCTACTGGACCAGTTCTGGTGAGAGGTTATGGAGGAGGAGAGAGGGGAGCAGATCTGGGAGATTTTAAAGAAGTTTTCTATATGAAATCACATTGATCCCCCCAAAACACCAAACACACGCAGACACATGGATTCCAACGTCAGTGGCTATCCAAAGCCCCCGCCTCATTTCTATAAATTTGGGGAAGCAGGGAAGAGGTTTTCATTTCTCATGGGCATTTCTGCCTCATGGGCTCCCACCTCTAAGAGCGGTTTAGTTGTTCTGCCAAGTCATGGCTGGTGTGAAGCTCAGTCCGTCGTTGGTTTCTACAGCCCCTCACGTAGACGGTCCTGGTGAGGTGGGCTCACGCTGCAGTCTTCCGCCACTTTGTCTCATTGCTTTCCTTTTCCTCCTCCCAACTCTGTTCTTGATCCCCTCCCTCATGGGTTCCTTGGGGAGCTCCATTTTTTCTCTCTTCATGGTGGAAAAAATTCAGCTTTCCCAGCTCCTTCTCTCAAACTTGCACAACTGGCTTCTTCAGGGAGCTGGGAAGAACCAAGGGCCCCCATCGGGCACAGTCTGCTCACCTTACAAGGCAGGTGAGTTCAAAATAGCCAGCTTTCCCCCGTTGTCATTCTCAGTACGGATACTTGTCTCCCACGGCTGGATTACGAACTCCTTGCAAGCCGGACCATGTTGTCCTGGTCTCTGTGATGTCCACTGCACCTAGTGCTGTGGGCACTTGTGCAACTGGTCAAACCCTGCTTGTTCCAAAGCAGCCTAGACGCAGGCCATAGCCAAATCAACCCAGTGTCTTCAGGAGGATGAGAGGTTTAAGAGACACTGATTGATTGAGGGCTCCTGTGCACAGGAAAGACCTGAAATGATTTCATAGAGCAAATATTTATTGGGCATTTCCTGTGTGCAGCATGCAGTGGCCTGTGGCACTGGGGCATACAAAGATGAAATCGTTCCTCTGCCCTCGAGGGTCCCACCATGGAGGGGAAGACACACACACTGCTGACAGCCTATCAGGGGACCAAAATGGGAATTACTGGATATGGACTATAGGACCCAGAAGGAATGGATTCTGTCTGGGGTGGGAAGGTAGGTTGAGTGATTAGGGTGGGAGGGTGAGTCAAGAGGGCTTTACAGAGGATATGACACTATCGTGGGCACTTGAGGCATAACTGAGATGCGAGGAAGTGCCTGGTCCCCTCTGAGAGTGGGGAGTAGTTGGCATGACGAGTGTGCCTGGAGCTGGGATGCAGGGGAGGGGCCAGGCTGGACAGGCCTTGTCATGCTTCGCCCAGGAGATGTGCTGCTTTCCTGGAGGTGATGTTTGGGCGCCCAGCAAGTGTTTTACCTTGATTCCCCTCGCTCCATGCCAGGGAAGAGCAGGGGGCGGAATGGGTGAAAATCTTTAAGATGTTGGCTTCCCTTAATCAGCCCCTTAGGCCGCTGACATTCTGGTTCCCTGGAGTCTAAGAGGGAAGAAAGGAGTCGATTGAAAGTGAGAAAATTGTCATGTGAAGGAGTAAAAAACAGCTGCAAGCACAACACTCCTTCGGAGATGGAATGAATAAATGAGATAAAATCCTAAATAAATACCTTGCATGGTACTAATTGCGTCTTAAAGGCTGCCACCAGAGCACAGATAAAACGATGCTGTATTTCATTAGTGGCTCCTTTAATGCTATGGTATTTGCCAGCAAAGCCCTATTAAAGCACTCTGTAATTAAAGACCAGTTCTGGGTCCTGTAATTTAGAGCATTATCAAAATAGGGCAAGTGACTGGAGGTAAGGAAATAGAAACAAACACCACTTTCATAAGGTCCTTGGAGATAACACAGAGTGTGAATTTTAAAAGCTCGGCCTCTGTACCGCCCCTGCCCGAGGGGTCTTGTCCACATCAGTGTTTTCCATTTGATGGGCAACCAGTTACATTTTTATTATCCCACAGGAGTGTAGGTGGAGAAGTAAATCAGTTCTTTTATTAAAATAATTTTTTATTGTGATATAATTCTCATAACATAAAATTACCACTTTAAAGCGTATAAATGAGTGGTTTTTAGTATATTTATAACGTTGTACAACCATCACCACTGTCTAATTCCAGGACATTTTCATCATCCCCAAAAGAAACCCCGTGCCTGTGAGCGATCCGTTCCCGTTCCCACCCACGCAGCCCCCGACCCAGCCCCTGGAAACCACTCACCTGCGTTCTGCCTCTATAGATTTGCCTATTCTGAACATTTCATATAAAGGGCATCGTACAGTATGTGGCCTTTTGTGACAGGCTTCTTTTACTTAGAATACCTTCAAGATTCATCTGTGTTACAGTACGTATCAGGACTTCATTCCTTTTTGTGGCTAAATCATACTCTGTTGTCTTTGGTTTATCCATTCATCCGCTGATGAACATTTGGGTTGTTTCCATTTTTTAACCGTAATTAATAATGCTGCCATGAACGTTCACGTACAAGGTTTTGTGTGAATCTATGTTTTCAGTTCTTTCAGGTAGTGGAATCGCTGGGTCATATGGTAGATCTTTGCTTAACCTTTTAGGAGCTGCCAGGCTATTCTTCACAGCAGCAGCAACTATTTTATATTCCCAGAAGCAATGTATGAGGTTTTCAATTTTCCCACATCCTCACCAACGCTTGCTATCGTCCATTAGTTTTTTTTTTTTCTTTTTTAATGAATTAATTTATTTATTTTTGGCTGCGTTAGGTCTTCGTTGCTTTCCCCGGGCTTTCTCTAGTTGCTGTGAGCGGGGGCTACTCTTCGTTGCGGTGCGCGGGCTTCTCATTGAGGTGGCGTCTCTTGTTGCGGAGTACGGGCTCTAGGCACACAGGCTTCAGTAGTTGTGACACATGGGCTTCAGTAGTTGCGGCGCACGGGCTTAGTTGCTCCACGGCATGTGGGATCTTCCCAGACTGGGGCTCAAACCCGTGTTCCCTGCGTTGGCAGGCGGATTCTTCACCACTGCCCCACCAGGGAAGCCCAGGATGTGTCTTAACGTGTATGTCAGGCAGGCTGAAGTCGGGACCTTGTTGTCACTGCCTGGACGTCAAAACTTGCTGACCAGCTGTCAGCTGCCAGGGAGAAAACCCCAGAGACAGTAGTGGAGCCTCCTTTTGATGAGGCTGTGTCACAAGCTCTTGGCACCCAGGACAACGATGTGGGGAAAAACACAGGCCACCATGACTCTGAGTCAAAGCGTGACGAGAAGAGTGGACCTCAAGTGTGAGGAAGTTTGGAAATACCATAACCAATTTATTTCACTTGTATTTTGCTTTTTATCTATGCACAGGAGTGATGTATGGCAAATATCTTTAAATAAATCTCAAAGAGCTCGCTCTTTCAGTAAGTACAAAATAAAACTTGTAAGTACTAAGAAACTCTTGTGTCGATTAATTGGCTATTTTTTTTCTTTTTTAGGCATAAAATTTTATGCCTTTTTAAGCATAAAATTATGACACAGGTTACAATTGCTGGTGAAATACAGATACCTACTTCCCATGGGGAGAAGCTGTTGAGAGAACCGGCTGGGACACCGTGAGTGAAACACTTACCACCGGGCCTGGCAGGGAGCAGTCCTGTTATCAACACTGATGGTTAAGAGTGTTGTTAATAACAATGTACCCACTCGACTCATATTAGGACATGTGTAATGAGTGACACCTCTTCTGATCCTTCACTGCATGACTAATCCTGGAGAAGGGGAAAACCATAACTAATGCTTTTTTTTAAATAATAGATCTCAGAAAAAAATCAGTAAAATCAGCTGTGCTAATGAATATAACATTTCAACAATGTTAGTCAGAGACGCTTAAGGTTTGCTGTGTGCTATCTGCAACACTGGAAGGTAACACAGAGATGTTGGCCTCTTCCTAGGGGACACGCACTGGGCACCATACACGTCAGTCCTGTCCAGCAGTGGAGTTCTGTGCCCCTAGGGGTGCATGTGGTTCAGCCACTCCCTCTGGGAAGCCCGCTAACTCTGCCCTCTGTTGTGTGGATCTCTTCCCAGCGCTCCACACCGGTAACTTGAAATTGGCTGAGGCATGAGTATTTACACAAGGGGAATTGGCAAACACCATTAATCAGGACTTTTTTGAAAGTTAACTTACTAGCTTATCACTGCATCGAAGGTACTGAGTTCCTGGGGTGGAGGTGGTATCTGTAAACTCAGTCCCACACCACAAGCCAAGGGCCACTCACTGGATCAGCAGGGATGTTTGGGCACCATGGGCATTCGCCCTACTTCCCTGGATACATATTCTTGCCACATCGTCCACTTCCATGTGGCTGTCTTTGGGGTGTGGGTGACCTGTTAGAAGGTTCTTCTTGCTCCTGTTTGTGTGATGAAAGTCAACGTAGAGTCAGCGTCACTAAGCGCGTTCTCTAAAATGGAGCTGAGAGACCGTGGAAGAAGTATGATTTACACATGCCTCGGCCTGGATGGAATCTGAGCTCTGACCATTTATTGTCTTAACGCAGGCATCCAGAACATCTGCCCCATGTTCCAGAAACTCAAGATACTTATCAGACCCTCACCCTAAAATAACCCATGACAACCTATCCCTTAAGGACAAATATTTCCTTTCTTGCGTCAGGGTCAATCCTAGTTCTTACAACTCAACAACCCGGTGCCTTTTACCTTTATAAGCCCCTGACTCTTTCTCTTCCCTGGAACACTCTTTTGGTTTTACCTGAACCGGTATCTCCTGAATTGCAATTCCTAATTCCACAGAAGCTCTCTTCTAATTCGCAGCCTTCTGTGTTTCTTGGTCGACATGTTTCAGCTGCAAAACATCTTCCAGACGCTGAGCAGCCCTCTCCACGGTTTCTGTGTGGCTGGAATTAGGCTGAGAGCTCAGGCTTCTGAGGGCTGAGTCAGGATGAGAGTGGAACAGAAACAAAAGCACGACGGAAGAAGAAAACAATGCCTGTTTGACTACTGGAAAGAGGATGGAGATGGGCTTTCTCTTAATTCCTTAGTAGAGGAGAACCCAACGACATTATTAGCATGCTCGGGTGCATAGACTTCCTGCCCCTCCAGCTCCTCAAGGAGAATTCTGTAAGTGCTAGCCTGGTTTCTCTACTCCTTCCCTCAACTCTCCTTATGAGGGTTAGAAGACATAGTAATAAAGACCAGACAAGAGAAGAATGGGGAGAGGAGAAAAGCAAGCCAAGTTGCCTGGGGGAGAGGCAGTGTGAGGAGCGGGGTGCTAGGACAGCTATGGGGGGAGGGAAGTAGATGGGAGGGCCGGGAGTCTCATGATTCTTGGGTTATTTGAATAGACATACATGCACAAGGGACCCAATTACGAAATCTCCCCCACCCTCTACCTTTGGGCTCCAGCACCCCATTATTTTCCCTAGAAATAACCCCTCTTATTAGTTCTTTGCATATCCTTCCAGAAATTCTCCATGGCAGAGGTTTTCAAACTTCCCTGTGGATGAGAATCACCTGGAAGGTATGTTAAAACAAAGAATGCTAACTGACCCCTGAGTTTCTTTTCTGATTCTGAGTGCTGTCTGAGAATCTGCATTTCTTACAAGTTCTCTCTGATGCTGATGCTGCTTGCTGGTCCAGGGACAACACTCTGAGAACCACTTTTCTGAAGGTATTCATGGGAACATTTAACACTTACCCCTTTTTTCTGAAGTAATTTGAGCATCTGTTCCTGGCAATGGACATATCCCTTAGGACACCATTGATGGCCCTTCCCTATGCTGGTTTCTTCCCCTGGGCTACTCTCCTCCCTGACCTCTGTTTATCCAAGGCCCAGTTCAATGTCTGCTTCCTCCAGGCAGTCTTTCTTGGTTCTTTCCCTATATGGAAGGAACCTTCTGCTCCTTTAGACTCTCATAGGAGTGTTTGTCTGAGCCTTCTAAGGGCACCTGTTATTTATGAGAATGGGATGTTAAATGGAACCCTTTCTTCTTTGGTTTTTACAATTTTGTTAAAGAGATATCAGACCCTAAAGTGAGTTTAAGAGATCATTAAATGCAGAATTTAGGTTTCAAGACCTTTGGACTTTCCCTGGTCATAAAATGGTTGATAGGATTTTTTTAGAATTTCTTAGGAGTGGACTGTGCTGTAAACCTGGAGAAAGAAAGGTGAGACCAAATGGGAGTGTCACTTCTTTCCCCTCAAGCCCAGAGAGACTGGGCTTCAGTGGTTGCTTGAGAGCTTAATGTGGGGTCTTTGCAGCTGGGGGCCTCTATGGACCAGGGCCAGATCAATGCTTGCCTGAGAGAGCTGAAGCAGCCTGGGGCCAGGGAGAGAGAGGGAAGGAACTGCCCTCCACCCAGGGCACAGCAAGGGGAGTGTTGCTTTCCTTGTAGACCAAGAAAAGTGTCCAAGGAAGCCACTGTGGGAACTTCTTAAATCCCATCCAATATGGTCAGGATGGTAGGGGGGCAGCCAGAAAGAAGTGGGAACCTCCAGATTCCATGTTCTGCAGTGACAGAGTCCTGGGAACTGTGGGTAAGCCCCCAGTTTGGGGGATCTTTCAGGAACCCCCAGAGTGCCCACGAGCTCGAGAGTTACCTTAACCCACCTGCCATTCAGAGGACCCTGGGGTCTGGAGACAAGGGTACCATCTTGGATTCTGCCCTTTCTCCCTGTGGGCAGGGACCCTGTTGGCCTGCTGGTGGGAAAGGGGGTGGGGAGGAGAAAAGCTACACCACCTCCCTTCTCAGGTCGCCGGGGAGATGGAAGAAAAGGTAAGGCCACATCAAGTTCAGAGTTTTGATTATATAGGATGAACATTCTACCCACAGGTGACTGTGGTTGGGCCTTAAAGGGGCTAGGGGCTGTAACACTGCCATTCCCTAGAGTGGGGGGACAGTCCAGAGCCCTGCTGGAGTTTCAATCAGGGGCTGGCAAAGTTGTCCTTCTGATTGCTTATGCACCGTGTTTGTTTAAAATACCAGACACACACACGCATCCCCTACACAATCTTGTTATCGCTTTATGCTCTAAACTCCTTGATATCATGGCTTATAACACCTTTGTGGCCCTTTGGTGCCTAGCTCCATACCTGGCACACAGTAGGCACACAGGGGGTATCTGCCCATTTACTCCTTTATTCTTTTATCCAACATTTACTGAGAATCCATGCTCAGCGCTAGTGATAGAGCAGGAAAAGAAGTGGACACGCCTCCTGTCTTCCAGGCTCTTGCTGTCTGCTGAGCAGTACAAGAGAAGCTCAGAAGCTCGTGTACAGCTCACGCCAGCCAAGGGGGAGCAAATGCAAATCCCCACGGCAGCCAGGCAGGTTCGTGTACATGGGCAAGCGTAAGACAACCGGGGTGTCGGCAGCTTTGGCAGAACAGGACACCCACCACGCCCCTGGGAAGACTGCAGCTGCTCTTCGTTGCCTTCTGAGAATTCAAGCCCATTTGTCCAAAAGGAGTAATAAATCTGGATTTTCACGTGAAATGTCCCGAACAAAACACATCTGGTGGGCCAGTTCAGTGCAAGGGTCACCGTTCGGGGCCCCTTTGCTGTTGTTGGCGCTCTCCCTGGTATCCTCCTGTAGAAGGAGGGACTGCCAGTAATCGAGGACCACGTGCTGCTTCTTTAGGAATTAATAAGTCATGGTTTGGAGAAGCTTTATACAAAGAACTTAGCTTTATTAAAATGCTCCTTTGGCCCAAAGAATAAATATTTAAAAAATCCCAACCCTAAGTGCTTAATCTGCTAAAATGTACAACAAATAAAATGAACGCTCTAAAAAGAGCTTGCTTCCTGTTTTAGAAGGGGCCCCATGGCTCTACAATCTGATTACAGAGAAGCGGCCTTTCCTGCCAGGGGTATGACAAGAAGCCACAAACGGACCACGCCACAGTTTGAGAGGAACTAGCCACAAGTTGCATTAACTGCAATTTCATTACCCTGAAAAGGATTCCATTAGTTGGAGACTTAGTGACTGCTTCTGGGGCTGATTCCTCCTTCTGGGGCCGTCCTATGCTCCCTGCCCTGTCACTGCTGGGATCACAAGGTCCAGAAGCCAGGCTGTAAGTGGAGCTGAAGAAGTTCTGGGAGACAGCACACAACAAGGCAGGCAGCCCAGGAGAGACAGCCAGCTGAAACCCTTCTCTCCAAGTTCTGTTTCCTGTTCTGCAGACAGACCCAGGGGTGACACTCTACACAAGTATGATGTATGTCTCCTTTGGGGTACAAATATAGTCACATTTCTTATTTTTACCATTAATAACTCCCATCTACTTTTATTAGTGGAAAATCTAATCATCTACCTATTGAGCCATCCCTTTAAACTTTCCAAGAATCCTATATTTTTAGTCGGAAGAGGTCAGTACTATGAGCCATACCAGCTCACCAGCGCTGTTGTTTCGATTTGCGCCACAAGGTGTCGCTGTTGAAGACTGGTTTTGCGTAGGTCAGCACAGCACTTGCTCTAGATTTTGGCGATGCCCTTGCCCGTACAGGTCCCTTGCCAGCCACCGTAGTGCCACATTCCAGCTTTTAAGGCGGCAATACTTTTTATTAGTACACATATGTGGGACTTCCCTGGTGGTCCAGTGGTTAAGACTCTGTGCTTCCAATGCACAGCGGGTGGGTTCAATCCCTGGTCTGGGAATTAAGATCCCCCATGCTGCACAGTGCAGACAAAGGAAAAAAAAAAAGTACACATATGTATTCCCAAAGCCTGACCCTGTGCCAGGGTGGCTGCCTCTGGATTGCCATTATGTATTTGTATGAAGGTCACCATCCCAGAATCCCCATAACCTCCCTCAAACTTCCCCTTTTGTGGCCCCGGGTGTCCTTTCCTGCTATCAGACTTCGGTCAATGACATCCCAACGAGCTTTTGTAAGTTTAAATCTCAGAGAGCTTGGGGTAAAGGGGTCTTCGTTCCTTCCCTCCTTTAAGACTCTGAGATGGTTTTGCAAATGCGTCCCTCCCTTTTCAGAACTCTGCCTAACAAGGGGTCTTAGCGAAGGGTTGCCTTGCTAAATCAAGCAAAAAGTCCTGTTATTCCTTTTAATTGTCAAAGACAAAGATCTTACACCCAGGGCAGGGGAGGCTGTGTTTGCCAAAAAAAAAATTTTAACTAAAAGGGGCAAATAGCAGCTCCTCTCATAAAAAAAAAAAAAAAGCCTTGCTCCAACATGACTCTCTCCTAACTGTACCGAGAAGGAGTCAGTGACTTAAAAATTAATTCAGACCTTACCTCACTATGCACCCTATTCCAGGTTGTTGAAGTTAAGAAGAGGTAGTTGAGACCCATGGAAGATAAATAAACTGCCCAGGATCACACAGGGGGTGGGAGAAGAGCCACGACAAGACTCTGAAGTCTAGGCACTTTCCACTGCTCTGCTTCCTTTCCCAAGAGATCCTGTAGAAGGAAGAAGGAAGGTCACTGGAAGTCAGGGTGGCCAGGAAAGGCTTAAGAAAGAGGTCAAGTCTTGACCTGCACACAGAAATAGGGATAGGGACGCTCCCAGGGGACCGGGGTAGGGAGTCCCTGCATGGCTCATATTGAGGAGACAGGAATGGACCAGACAGCTGGAGAGGGTTCCCAAGGAAGCACCTAGTGATGGGGCGGCTCTAGAAATGCCAGAGGCTGCTATGGTCAACCCCTATATCTGTTCTACCCTATTCCTTAGTTAAAGCCTTCCTGCAACAATGCTTACTTGCCCCAGTCTCCCTTTCAGCTATGTGTTTTCATGTGACTTGGTGTGGGCCAATGAAATGTAAGCAGAAATGTTTTGTAGAGACTTCTGGGAAAACCTCTTCAAATAGAACAAGTTCCTCCTTAACCCTTCTTCCTCCCTTCCTCCATCTTGATGTCTGGGAGATATATGTGATGACTGGTCCTCTAGCATTATCTGAGACAATGACTACAAGGGCCATACTTTAGAAATGATGTAGTGATGAAACTGTAACCCCTATAACTGTGGAGCTGCTGTACTATCCCTGGACCGCCAATCTGTCGACTTTCATTTAGGTACTAGGGAGAAACTTCTTTCTTGTTTACATCATGGTTATTTTGGGTTTTCTATCACATACAGCTGAGTTTGTTCCTAACTGCAGTAGCCCGCCTAGATTATTGGGGAAGCGGGGGGATCCCTGAGTGCCAGGTCAAGGAGTCTGGACTTTATCCTGTGGGTCAGTGGGGAGTAGCAGAGTGACATGACGAAAGCCGTGACTTATTGATGTTCATTTGGCCACCAGGTATGACATCCACTAGAAGAAAGTGCAAGGCCGCCGACCAGCTAGGTGACTTTTACTGTAGCACAATTGCTGGGCTGGTGAGGGAGTAGAGGGTGTGTCTAACCTGATTTCTCAACTGGCCACTCTGAGATATCAGGCCAACCTCCAGAAGTTCTGTTTCCATAAAGTCTCCATAGCTTTCTAGAAGGCCAGCAAGACTTTGGGACTGACAGGTCCTGGCACACTCCTCCTGGGATAAGAGAAGGCAGTGGGTGGTGGTTAAGAGTGGAGTTTTGGAGTCAGATCCATCTTGGTTCAAATTCTGGCCTCCTCTTTTGGTAGCTGTATGGTTTAGGGCAGTTATTTAATCTTTCCTGGCTTCAGTTTTCTCATCTCTAAAACAAGGATGAACATACCTGTTTCACAGGATCGAGAGCTAAGCCATGTGAGAAGCTTAGCGTGGTGTCTGGCCGTGCCTGATTCACAGCTGAAATGGCCACACTTGTGTGTTTTATTTGGGTCTCAGTTATCCTGATATTTTTATCACAAGGATCTATTTTAATTTGATAACTACAGACAATGAATACATTTTGGCTTGAAACTTTTGGATAGGCCACCAACCTGTTCTATATTCCTGTTTTTAATGATCGAATCATAGAAAAAACTTCTTCTTCTCCAGTCCTATTCAGGGATGGCCTTGTGTGGTACTTGACAGACTGAGTTAAATTGTGTCTGGTTTTTAGTTCTTGTACTTTTAGACAACGCAACACGACAGCGATGGGGAGGATGCAGGGCCCACTCTCCCACCCCTGAACACTTACATAAACTCTCCCGGCTTGACTTTCTTTTTTTTTTTTTTTTTGCGGTACGCGGGCCTCTCACTGTTGTGGCCTCTCCTGTTGCAGAGCACAGGCTCCGGACGCGGACGCGCAGGCTCAGCGGCCACGGCTCAGGGGCCCAGCCGCTCCGCGGCATGTGGAATCCTCCCGGACCAGGGCACGAACCCGCGTCCCCTGCATCGGCAGGCGGACTCTCAACCACTGCGCCACCAGGGAAGCCCCCCGGCTTGACTTTCTTACTTCTCTCTCCCCTCCTGCTTCCCTGAGAAAAGGAAGGGACTGCCTCAACTTCCTGCTCCCAAATCTCAAGTCTCCTGCTCGCAGATCCCCTCATCTGCCATTCCCCTTAATCCGAGTGGAGTGGTGTCCCTCCCACCATCAGGGCCAGGCCCCTCCACCTGGGCTCTGCACTCCCTTTCGTCCTGCCTTCTCAGTGCCCTTGCACTTAACCATCGTCCTGGGTCACTCTTTGCTTTCAACCTCTCCTTCTCCTGGTTTCTTCCGATTGACCTTGGAACGCATTCATAATTCATTACACACAAAAAAGTGAAGAACCTTCTTCCCCCTTTATTATTAGAAAGTAGGCTTGGGGCTTCCCTGGTGGTGCGGTGGCTAAGAATCTGCCTGCCGATGCAGGGGACATGGGTTCAAACCCTGGTCTGGGAAGATCCCACATGCTGCGGAGCAGCTGGACCCGTAAGCCATGGCCGCTGAGCCTGCGCAGAGGTTCTATTACTATAGAAGAAGGAGGTTACTGGGTTGGTATAAAGGTGATCATTTTATTTATTTATTTATTTTAAAATATTTATTTATTTATTTTGGCTGCGCCCTGTCTTAGTTGTGGCATGTGGGATCTTTTTTTTTTTTTAGTTGCAGCATGTGGGCTCTTAGTTTCATGCTGGATCTAGTTCCCCAACCAGGGATGGAACCCAGACTCCCTGCATTGGGAGTACGGAGTATTACCCTCTGGACCACCAGGGAAGTCCCCAAAAGTGATCATTTTAATATTATATATGAAAATATTTTGTCCAACTTAAAAGTTCACTTTTTTCCTCCTAATTTAAAAAAGAAGTTACATTTCTCCTCTGGTTCAAGGTGCTTCAGGAGCCTTCGGCTTCCTTGCAGACATGGCTGAGGCCAAGAACCACACCATGTACAACCCTTCCCCATATAGCACAGAAATGGCATCAAGAAACCCTGATCAAAAAGATCTGAATCTCGTAAGGGCATGGACCCAAGTTCCTCAGAAACGTGCACTTTGCCAAGAAGCACAGCAAGAGGGATCAAAAGAAGATGCAGGTCAACACCACCAAGGCCACGGGCATGGTGCCCAGGCTGTCAAGACCCTCGTAAAGCCCAAGGGCAGAATGGGAATCCAGATCTCCACCAGGGCCATAGATTTCACAGGCAAGATGGAGGCCTGGCAGAGATGTCCTCAAAATAATTAGCTGGACTCACCCAGGGGTGGAAAGGAGAGTGTTCTACGCAATGTCCAGGCATTGAAGCTGTTCTGTCTCAAGGCAGCTGTAACCCCCTGTCAATGAGTGAGGAATGGGGAAGAACCCTAAAATAGTCTGCATCCTCTCCTCTCTTCTGCTTTAATATTAAGCCTCTGTAACCTTGAGTAGGTTCATCCTTTAAAAAAAATTTAACCAGTTAGGGTAGGTGGTAACAAATGATGTCCAGATCTCAGTGCTCAGAACAACAAAGATTTATTTTATATTCATTCCACCTGCCTATCTTGAGGTGGCTGGGGCCTCACTTCCATGGGCCTCATTCAGGGACCACAGCTGATGCAGTAGCCACCATGTGGAATGGCGACGGCAGCAGTGGTAGGAAGATGGAAAATGTGACAAGTTATGGATTGGCTCATAGGGTCAAAGTGACATGGGTCACTTTCACCCACTTTTCTTGGGCTCCCAAAACTCAAAGAGGCCTCGAGAGGGTAAGGAAGTGCAATTCCACCACATTTCAGAAGGGGGAGAATGAGAACATGGGTGTCAGACTTAGTGATCATCACAATACTTTTAACCTTTTTTTTTACATTGAATTCACAGAAAACCTGTAATGGTAACTAATAGCTTCATTTCAGGGTTGAGGAAATAGCCTGGGTCGCTGCCATCCTTAAGGACAGGAAACGCATCCACCTGCTAAGTCGCTGGTGACATCTTGTGACAGCCAAGAAGCAGCCACCTACTAGCCGGGGAGGAGAAGGTGTCCCAGCCTCCAGGTGAGAGTCACCAGAACAGGCCTCTCCTGCTGGGCTGAGACGCACGGGGTTATAGTAGGTTATAATAGGGCCGAGGACTCCCGGGGATCGAAGAAAGGGCTTCTCCTGATAGATTCTCTGGGGCGTTGGGTCTTTGAAGAGTGAAAGGAATGTGACCTTGCACTTTGCCCTCACAGCCAGTGAAGCAGGGCATCCCCTGATGTATGACTCTCTTCATGGAAACTTTGTGGACATGGTTGGGGAGTGTAGATAATCACATTGCATCATGTCTGTAATATAAGCTAGGTGAAAAAGCAGGATACAAAAGTACAACTAGACTACAGTTTAAATGTGTGTGTGTGTGTGTGTGTGTGTGTGTGTGTGTAGCACGTATGAATCTCAGCCTGCAAACTATATGAGCAAGAAATATTTAAGTCCTTTATTTCCTTTTACTCAATTTAATTCTGCCTCCTAACCCTCACTTGTCCTGATGGGAATTTGCCTTCAGTGATTCTCAGGTGTCCCCATCACCACAGTTGTGCTGGGATCCGTGGTCCACAGCAGCAAAACACCAGTATGCTTCTGTGATTTTTGACCATATATACGCACAGATCCCACTGCAGCCCTCCCCATCCCCTGTCCACTCGGTCCCTGTGGGCTTTAGTGCCTGGCCTGGGTGGAGGAATCTTGGAAATCCTGGAGACTGGCTTCCTCAGACCCACCCTCTGAAGTATCACCTCTGAGGTCTTGCCACCTCCCTCCTCAAATACCTGCCTTTCCTTTTTCCCTTCATCCCTAACTCCCTGCTGCCTCAAGACCTCTCTCCAGCCTGCCCCCTTCAGACGCATAATCTCTTCAATGGGTTTAAGTTTTTCAAAAGGAAGAAGTATACTAGCCCTGCTACAATACTTGAATATAGGGATTACCAGCAACATGGGAATTAGATGATTTGAAAATTCTCCTGTTACAAACTCCTAGAAATGCTGAGCTTTCAAGAAAAAAAAAAGAAAGGAAGAAAGAAAGAAACCTTCAGGTGCCAAGACTTCATCTTGCTTTGGGATGAAAGAAGCATTGGTGAGTAAAGAAACAGGTAAACCAGGGGGTAAATCTAAAAACAATAATAATGATTTATAAAACTAATTTAGGATATGTAAAAATGAGATAGGACTAAAACACTAGACAACAGTAATTATAAAATGGGAGCTTAATGATCTGATTTAATGTTTTAATATCATTGAATTGTTTAGGAGGAGAATAAAGACATTGATTCACTTTATATTTTGTTGCATCAAATAAGCATGTTTGCAATTTAGGGTATCCAGTAGAATAATAAAAATTGAGTGCATATCTTCCATGCAGGAAGGAGGTTAAACAAAGCCTGGATTTCCAGCTGAAAGGGAAATGGAGGAAAAATACAGAGACTAATATATGAGTTAAGAGTCAGAAAAAAAATCTGCCATACACACACATACAAATATACGTGTGACATACAGGAATTACCTCTCAGTGCTACAGTGATCGTTTATGGAGAGCGAGGGTTCAGGTGAATTTTATCTTCTTTTTCATATTTGTGATGAGCAGCCTCCAAAATGACCCCCAGTGGCCCCCACCTCTGGGTACTCACACCTGTGCAGTCCTTTCCCACAATGCAACAGGGTTACTCTGTGGTCAACAGAATGCAGCAGGATTGATGGTACAGCACATCATGTTGAGGTTACGAAAGGCTGCAGCTTCCATCCTAGGCCCTCTCTCTTGCTCTCTCATCATCTGCTCTTGGGGGGGGGCGACGTTGTCACGAGCAGCCCTATCGAGAGGCCCACCTGTGGCCTCCTGGCAACAGCCATGTTGAAGAAGAGTATATATATTCTTTGTCAGAATCTTTCCCCTTATAGGTTATTACAAGATATTGAATATAGTTCCCTGTACTATACAGTAAGTCCTTTTTGGTTATCTATTTTATATATAGTGTTATGTATATTTTAATACCAAAGTCCTAATTTATGCCTCCCCCCCCTTTCTCCTTTGGTAACCCTAAGTTTGTTTTCTCTGTCTGTGAATCTATTTCTGTTTTATAAATAAGTTCATTTGTGCCATTTTTTTAGGTTCCACATATAAGCGATAGCATATGATATTTGTCTTTGTCTGGCTTACTTTACTTAGTATGATAATCTCTAGGTCCATCCATGTTGCTGCACATGGCATTATTTCACTTTTTTTTTATTTCACTTTTTTTTGATTGAATAATATTCCATTGTATATATATATACCACATCTTCAAGTTTGGAGTCTATTAATCTCCCATGGCTCTAAAAATCTGTTAATCAATAATCCTGCTTTAACCTGCCATGGAATTTTGGCTCTTCTATAACAAGCTAGCCTAAGCCCCCCCTCATGAGGGACCCTGCTCTGTCCAGTATGGGATACACTAGCCACAGAGGGGCTATTTACTTTTAAAGTAGTTGAAATTAATGAAAATTTTAGTTTCTCAGTTGCAGTAGCCATATTTCAAGTGCTCGATGGCCACAGGTGGCTAGTGGCCAATGTGTTGGACAGCGTGGGGTTAGACCCTTCTGTGTTCTACCGGACAGCACTGCTCTGGGTCTTGCCTCTTAGTGTGGTCTGTGATCCAGCATCAGCATCACTTGGGAGCCCTTAGAAATGCAGGATCTTGGGTGCCTGCCCAGATCTGCTGAATCAGGATCTGCCTTGTAACAGGATCTCCAGGTGTTGCCTGCACTTGTGGGTTTGAGAAGCAGGGCTATAAAGAGCATTCCCCACTGGAACTTGGAAGAGCATGAAAGGACAGATGGGTACTTAGTTGTGTCACCTCTCTACAGACTTTTGGGGACTCATAGCCTGGCTCACTTTTAGCAGCTGTGTGACCTTATCTACCGCGTAGGAAACTCTGAGGCAATGATTACCGTGCTTAACACACAGTAAATGCTCTTTAAATGGGCGTTTTGTTATGTTTGGATTTGATGAGGTTTAAGGTCTCTGCAGACTCCAAGCCCAATGCAGACCGCCGTGCAGAGTGGCTCTTTCCCTCCCCGCCACAGGGTGGCGCTGTGACACCAACGTCCTTTCTTCAACAGGCTTCCAGCTGGCTCCCCGGCAGGAAGCCTGAATTGGCCCCGAGACTTCCAGGTCTCTGTTTCGGATTACCAAGCACGAGCGGGCAGCCGGACACCAATCCAAGCATTCATCTGACAGACAATGGGAAAACAGGCCTCAGCTTTGTGCCCAGCTGGAATGCAAAAGCAAGGTCGGCACAGCGAGTTGAATACGGACTGTGTGAAAGTCGTGGCGGAAGCAAAGGGCTCCTGTTGGCAAGCAGGGGGAGGTACGCCTTGCGATTCTTTAAGTCAGCTTCGGAGCGACCCGGGCTCCACATCTCACAGATGCACGCTCTGGCTCTTTCCGAGTCAAGTGCGTCCGTGCGTGCGTGTGTGTGAGAGAGAGACGAGGTGATCAGGAGTGGGCTGGTGGGGAATGTTTTTAAGGAGTCACTTTCTACAGTTTCTCAAACTTCAGCCTACATCACAATCACCCAGAGGGCTTTTTAAAACGCAGAGGGCTGGCTTCCACCTCCAGAGGTCTGGGGTGGCCTGATAATTTGCATTTCAAACAAGTTCCCAGGTGGCGCGGAGACTGCTGACCCAGAGACTGCCCTTTGAGAACCACGACTCTAAACTCTTGAAAAGCTCTCAAGCAACAAATTATATAAGCCCAGTTCTAGAGAAAGACGTGACTCCAAAGGAACTTAGTCCAAATCGCCACCCCCCACCCCCCATTGCCTTCTTCACTGCCCTCACGCCTTCCCTCGATGAGGCCTCAGCTGTCTCGGTAACCTTTCAAAGTACCCTCAGGCCGTGGCAGGTACTTGCTAGTCGGAACGTGGTCTGGAAGGCTAGCTGGGAGCCAGAGTTTCTTCGCAGGTGATAGGCCCCCTCCCTCCTTTGCCATAACTCATAATCCTTGCTGGCCCAAGAAGGGTGATTAAGACGCTCAGAGCAAATTTAGCCCCACTTTGAGCACAAAACCTGCAGAGACCACGCTCCTTGCCTGGTGCCACCAGTTCAAGGCAGAGTCACTCCCCCCCCAGAAATAGGTGGAAATGGCAGGGGCCTGGCTTTGGTGGGAGTGTTGGATATCATAGAGGAAGTGCAGACAAATCGTATGGGCCCCTCCAGTGGTTGATATGGGCTGACTGGAGTGCATGTCACGAGAAGGAGTCATAGGAAAAAAGCCTGGGTCCCTCCTCTGAGTTCCTCCAGCACCAGGGCTTCTGCAGAGGTGGCACTGACCACTTATTGCCTGGTTACGAATTGTGAGCTCTGCTATTTATTAGAAAAGGGTGTATAGAGCACGCATGATGTACCAAGCTCAGCACCAAGGTTTGATGGGCTGGAAAGCCGAAGGTCCAACGTCATGGGCTTGTGCCCACTAGGAGGCCACATCCTGAAAACTGAGCAGGTCCCTGTGGGGCCCTCCTGGACACAAAAGACTTTCCATGTCCCCCATTTCTTGTTTGTAGGAAATAGGCTTCATTCAGCCTCCTGGACCTTCCCTGAGTTCCAAAGGGCAGATTCAAACAGTTGCTAATCAGGGAATGGGAGGGGTGCAGAAACAAAGAAGGAGCAGTCAAGAAACAATAGTGCAGCCCTGGGGCAGGATCCTGGTTCCTCCTGAAGGGATACACATAACAATACCTTTGAGCTCTTTTGTAGGAACTAAGGCCTCCACTGAGGTGGAGGATGGCAACTTCAGGCTGAGCATTACCCTGTTACCTCACCACCAACCAATCAGAAGAAAGTCACACACCCTGCCAACCCTCATCCCAAATTTTGTCTATAAAAACTTCTCCCTGAAAACCATCAGGGAGTTCACGGTTTTTAGCATGAGCCACCCATTCTCCTTGCCTGGCCCTGCAGTAAACCTTTCTCTGCTCCAAATTTCAACGTTTCAGTTTGTTTGGCCTCACTGTGTGGTGGGCATACAAACCTGCATTTGGTAACAGTTTTGATGAGCCAGCCCAGGAGTTCATGCCTGTGGCAAGTCGACCCTGGCCAGGAGCAGCCCTTTCCCCGAATCCCTGGCAGCTGCCGGAGCTCATTTTGCTCTGGGGAACTCAGAGAGACTCTCCGTGGCAGGCACTGGCCGCCTCAGCCCAAGTCCGTTTGGAGCCAAGGAACGTCCTAAGCTACAGTTCACTTTCGGTGTCGCTTGGGGGTGAGTAGCTCCAGTATGCATGCAGGCTGGGAATTCTCTCCACTCCTTCTGGGCTCACTCTTGTGGGAAGTGAGCCACTCTGGGCTAGCCACTCTGGGTTCATTCTCTTTCAAGAGCTGGGCCAATCTGGAGGCCTCTGTCTGGGAGTGGAAGTGGAATTTTTAGACTACACCTCCTCTGATTTTCTGTGTGACCATACCTTATTTGTAGTTTGTGTTTTTGTGTGTATCATCCTGGCTTGCGCGGGATGGGAAAATTCTACTTGCTCCATCTAGGGCTCACTTCACTTTCAGGGAGTGAGCCATCCAGGGCTCATTGCAAGCCACTCTGGGCCCATTCTCTTTCGGGAGCCAGGACACTCTGGCAGCCTCCATCTCGGAGTCGAAGTGGAATTTGGGGGCTACACCTTGTGTTATCTTTTGTTTGTGGGACGATATTTGTTGTTTGTCTATGTGTGTATATCAGTACTTGTGTTGGCTGGTTGAGACATCTCTGGTCTCTGACAACACGAGGGTATCCTTCCCTATTGCATTGGCTTTTTCTATGGCAGAGGACTGGTTGGGAATTTCCCTTTCTGGAGCCAGGGAATTGTGACCCTGAGAGACCTGCAATTCTGCGTTGCATTGGTTTGCTGTTTGTCCATGAATAATTAGGTATGAGTGAACAGAGAACAATTGTAAGATCTCTGTCTAAATAGATATATGTATGTACCTTATAAATACGAGGTGTCTCTGGCTCCAAAGTGGCGTTGCCAAGATTGGTTCGTGGATGAGTTCTGTTTAATTGGCTTAAAAGAAATTAAGTGCTTATCTAAATTCTCAGAAATAAAAAAGAAACTTGTCAGAATGAATTTTAGGTTCAAGTGATCTGGGAGATATTCAGTGCTGAATCAACATCTGGTATCGAAGCTAGCTTAAGCTTGTTGGTTTGACTAATATTGACATGTCTTTAGTGTCATAATGTTAAGTATAGTACTTCTGTTGTACCTAGGTTTACTAGAGGTCAAATAAGACCTTATTTTAGCTGTTGTGAATTTGTCAGCAAGGAAAGTAACTTGATAACTTGAAACTAAATTAAGTTGAGTGGTGAGAATTCATCGACTATCTGGGTCATTTCAGATAGGATAAAATATTGGAACATTAATTGCTGGGTGGTAAGTTTACCTACCTTTGCCTTCTTAGGAGAGGAAGACTAAAGCATACGTTTTCTAATCAGGAAATGCTGGTTTGACAGATAGCTCCCAGTTACTTGCTCCTTGGTTTTTTGCTGGAGATTAAGGTTTCTAAGGGTTAAAATTATATGTGATTAAATCTACTAAAACAAGAGAAACATTTCAATATGTTAGGAAAGTAAGATGTGTGTTTTCAGTAAAACAGAGTGTGAGGAATGGAACTGCATTTTGTTAAGGGAAAAGAAAGTAATTTTGTCCTAGACCTGGTTGTTTCTAGATGGTTAAAAAAAAAAAAAAAAAAAAGCGGGGGAGGGGGACATATAATGTGGATACAGAAAGTGAGGGGAAGTTTGTGGAAAAGGAACCTTAAGAAAAGAGTTTTGTACATGGTCAGGATTAGCCAAGATTGGATTAAATTTAATTAGGTAAATGAATTTTGTTATTAAAAGTAGGCTGGTGCAAGACTAGAGAGAGAACTTTGTTAAGAGAGCAAAGTTTTCTTGGAATACTGCTTTCAATAACAGATTGTGTGAGGTTCTTTGCCTTTAAGTGATCTGTGTTTGCTTTTGAAATCTTTTGCCACTTTGGTTAAGTGAATTTAAGTACTGTTTCACAGTGACCTGTGATCTTATTTGACCAAGTGTTTTGAAACCTCTTTGATATTTTTGACAAACTTCCCAAATATCAAATTCTAACTGAATTTCTTTTGACCTGAAGCTAACTTTGAGATGCTTCAGAGGAACCTTGATGCATCTGAGAGAGAGAGATTAAGTTAACTAGGATTATTTGGTAATGTTAAATTACGCGGAAAGCCTTACCAAATGAATGATAAGCCTTCTCAGGTTATACTCTATGGATAAATGATATTAATACAGATTGTTCTAAAAATGATATGGAATTTCTAAACACCTGGTATGTCCTGATAAAATGCTAACAGTCATAGTTCGTTTCTTTATCGATTACATCGTAAGCAGGTGTTTAACCATGTCTTTTAAAGTCTTTCGGTTGTTTATAGACAGTTATCGTTGTACTCTGATGCTTTTGCAAAAGTGCTTCACCGTCAGGAAGAGTCATAGGAGGGACTTTCTGACAAGTGCAGGTTTCTGATGAATTTCAGATAAACCTCACTCTGCTCCAAACACAGACGTTTTGGTTTGTTTGGCCTCACTGTGCATCGGGCACACGTACTTGCATTCGGTAACATACAATAGAACACACATAAGTAGAAGTGTATGTAAGTAGTTGTCCTCTTATCTCTTGCAGCTGACACCCCTCATGCAGCCACTGGGCTCTGAGCCTTGTTCAGGTTTCCCTTGAAGGGGATCAGAATATGCCACCCCAAAATATGCCACTTTGGCAAGGGTTGTTTTTAACTGAAGACAATTAGCTGTCTGTCTAAAAGCAGGGCATAACTTTCCCTTTGTTAAGGTAACATAAATCTTCCAGAAATACCAGAAAAAGGAGAAGGACTCAATCACCAGAGAGGAGAAGCTTTTTCAGCGGAGAAAGCACCAACTTGAACATAACAAACCTTACTAAATAACCCTATTATCCATTATAATCCATTAGCTTCCCCCATATATTTACCTTCCCACAACTTATGCCCCTAGAAGTCCAACCCCTATTCCTTCCTTTGTCTACTTACTTCTCCACAGTTTATTACTCTTTGTTAAAATGGTATATAAGTCCTCAGGTCTAACCACTTCTTTGGGGTTTTCACTTTTTTTCTGTAAGGCCCTCATATGTATGCAAAATAATCTTTTCTCCTATTAATCTCTCTTTAATCAGTTTGATTCAAATGACCAATGTATTGAACCGAAGAGGGTAGAGGGAAGGGTTTTTTAACCTCCCCGGTACCCCAAGACAGCCTTTCACAGAGTGTGCAGTGAGTCCCCCTGGTGGCCCATGAGGTGAGTCAGGAGTTCAGGGACTCAAGTTTT